TGCTATGCCGACTTCGACGCCCGCGACGCTCTATTATTATCTTTCGTACCCTTTTATTTTTGGCACAAGTTTGCCACATTAAACGTTTATTTCTTCCTGTTTATTTATTGTTTCTTTCGTCACCATCCGTGACAATATCACGATGTAGGGTGAGTGTCCCCTCTGTAGGCCTCTATCAAAAAGAAATAGAATATCTCAGCCAATGGAGCATGATGTGTGGTGGCGTGGGTGTGGTGGATTGTTCGGGTTTTTTCGTGGCCTTCATGTTTTTTGTTTTTTTTTCTATTAAATTTTAATTGTAAGTCAGAGCCTTGTCTGTGTGTATACTCTTCCACTGGTCCGTCATTTGTTTGCGCTGTATTCTCGTTCCGCGCGCGACGCATCACCTTCTTGCCCAGACTTCTACGCTATAACTATTCAAATGGGGAGTAGCCGACGGAGCTGTTCGCACTGTTTCTTTGTTTTTCTCCACCCGTCGTCTGCCCTGCCTCGTTTGATAACTGTACGCGCGCGCGTGTTTGTTCGACGGATGGGCATGCCGAACAAATCTTGCGCTACAGCCACTTCAAAAACACCGAAAAGGGAATGTGTTCAAGTTCCCTCAAGACGGTAACCGGCAAGCGTGGGCAGGAGCTATGAAAGATGTCTTGTTCCCGTCCTCGTCCTCGCTCTTTCATACTTTTCAAGTCTTTTATCTATTAACCTACACGCTCGTTTTCAATTGTAAGAGCCATTCGAAGGGAGAATCTTGTGTCTCAACACACCAGAGGAAGAACTCCTTCTTGTTTTCATTTGTCAGGTCTCTTGTACAGTTTTCGCTTTCTAAGTCTTCTAACCCTACCGAAAAATCCGGTATACCTTTTCACTATCCGGATTATGGAACCGGAAATTTGTTACTGGAAACCCGAAATCCAGATTGGAGACAAAGGAATTATTTCTGAAAACCTAAATTCCAGACAGATTCCAGATAGATTCCAGATAAATTTCCGGTTCCATCATCCGGATAGCGAAAAGTTATACCGGATTTTTCGGTAGGGAAGCTTTCGTCAAATGACTTACATCGGTTGCCGTCATGTCGGGCGTCATTAGAAAACAAAAAAAGACTCAATATGCTCAAAGTACGTCAGCATTCGTTTAAGTCCGACAGCTTATGTCAAGGACTTGAGAAGCTACCTATACTTTAACAGCCTGTTTATACAGAACCAGCGTAATTCCTCGTGCGGACGGATATGACGTTAAGTGCGGTGCGAGGTGGCCAGCTTAACGGCTCATTCACTGAACAATTTATTCTGTTACTCCGACTGAGCAATTGCAAAGTTTCCTCAGTTTTGCTTATGCTGTGAAGCATTTAAAAAAGAGATAAGACGCGTGTAAAAAGTCACATCTCTCCGTGTATACGTGCACGTGAAAATATGTTGACTCGCGTGTTCGTTCACGAATATATTTATCGGGATCATTCGTGCTTCGTGTGACACGTGGGAACCAAATACAAAGTACTCATAAATTGTTGTCATTTATACGAAGGCAAATTCGTTTTTCAAGTGCGCGAGCTTTACTTCACGGAGAGTGATGCCTTCGAGAGACGTCACGTGGATGATGCTACAAGGTCAGAGGTCATCGTTCCATTGAAGCATCCCCGCCTATGCTACGGTGCACTGTCATAATTTCAGCTTGACTTGTGGTGTAGATGCAAGTAGCTCTGGACAAGAAGCTCTCTGAACGGTTTAGCTTCAAGCAAGAATGCAGTTTCTACATTCGCTTACTCAGTGAACTTTATTGATGATGTGATGTAAAATGCCGTTTTCAATCGTTTTTCATCCGGTAATTCTTGGCAATTATTCTTTATAAATAATAAATTTTGTGGGGATAATTACATCATGCACAATTTTGGGCTTAAAAGTTAACCCTATCTCGAGAATTATACACCTACAGCATTATTGTATTTTACATTATTGATTTTACGAAACAATAATTTGCCAGTTTAAGAAAACCAGCTTCCTAACACAAAGGTCGTGCTGAGTTGGCATTTAAGGCAATGAGCACGCTTCCATCAGTAATAACTCGTTGCTATGACGGTAACCCCTTGCGTGTTCCTTCTCTTCCTCACTTTAGAGTGGCCCCGATGGACTTCTCTTTCGGCCATGCGGAAAGAGAGCTGAGGAGGGGTTGCCTCACCCCTGCTCTAAGCTGAGCAACGGGAAGGGCTGGCCGCCGTCGTAGAAACAAATCTCGCCTCTCCTTGCTGCAGACGCGACACTCCGAAAGCAATTCAGAGGACTGCCGCCGGTGGCTTAAAAAGCGCAATAACATCCGGGTTTTCGATCTGTCAATTTTCCTTTGGCGTAAGGAATTCTGACGCAAGTGAAAACGCATCATCGTAAAGGACGCAAGCAGCCCGATGAAAAGATCGTGCGTAATCCCCAAAGGAAAGGATTATGCCACTCCTCCCCCGCATCAACATGCTATGCCAAGACTGGGCAAGGTAAAGGGTCAAATGCAAGATTAAACAAAATATTGACACTCTTTTTTCTTGTTTTTCACAAGAAAAGCAACAAGAAAAAAACGAAAAATGTTTTAATTGCAGTAGCGAAGGCCAATGAGCAAAGGAGATAGAGTAAAACCTGGGGTCTCAAATCGATTTAGGGTTGTAGTCCTGGACGCTGCAGGGCCCTTGCTGCTTCCTGTACACGTTGCGGGAGGAAGGCGTGCGGTTTGGTGTGGACGGATAAGCAACGCGGTATAATAAAGGATGTTTCAGTTCACTTGTGCCGAGACTTAAATAAAGGTGGTGCACGCTACGCGTGTTGAACCAATGCAGGATTGTTCATAGTCCTGTCGTGCAACTCCAGATATTTCCTGTGATATGCTAAGATCGCTGATTAATACTAGCTAACTTTTAAACTCTTAATTTGTGCGCCAAACCCCGCTATACGAAAGCTTTAGAGTGAGATGAACAACCATCCCATCCTGTCATTTCCATAAGTAAAGGTAGCCTTCATGTGTATAATATTTTAGCGTTAAAAAAGAAAGCTCAAAGATCTTGTGCTAGTTTTTAAACGTTCCCTGTACCGTATTTTCCAAACTATAGTCCGTACGCTGCACATAGTCCGCACTTAGTGCCTAATTCGAACGTAAAAATTGATCATATAGAGCACACCTTGACAATTGCCTGCTGCATTAGCTCCCAAAGAGGCTCGCATCACATATAAATCACTAATATTATTCTCTGTTACTCATAAAATCCTTCGCGCCTTGTCACAGTGGACGATGTAGAAAAATACAAAACCTTGTATAGTCCGCACAGGGTAAGATTTCAACTTTTAAAAAGGAATAATGCGCGGTAAATACCGGCTGCCGAACTGCAATGGTTATGACCAACGTTATTAGAACCACTCAGTTGCGAAACTGCCATAGACACCGTTCTGAAAAAGTGGCCCCGATCTGTCCTCCAGAAGCGAGCTAATGGCGAACATAACGCCGCCATTTCTCCCGCAGACGCCACTCGACTTTCAAAAAGCTCAAGGTGACCACAGTAAACAGAAATGATGAAGAGTGACGCGCCGTTGTCGTATTTAGCTCGGTCTTGGTGGACGCCAGCGGCCTTGGTTTGGACGGCGAGTTTCCCAACTGAGTGTTCTAGTAACGTTGGTTATGGCCTTAGTTCCGTAAAATAAAAGTTAAATAAAAAAATCGCCCATGTAGCTTTTTGTTTCAATTTTACCGCTTGAAAATTTTAGACACGAAAAGGCTACCTTAAAGGGCAACTCCGCTTCTTTTCCAGTAGTGAAAAACTATACAGTTCTTCTTGTTATCATCTACAAAACCCCCATGGCAAATATTACGACGGAATTCCGCCTAGAAGTTCATTAAAATCGCCGTCAAAGTTTGACAAGCACGAATCCGCTGGTTTTGGATGAGACGTGCGGGCCAGACAACACTGCCCGGCTGCATTTCCGCTTCCTCCAAATTCCTTCTCCCGGGACGTCCGCGACGTCATCAAGCATGTACAGCTTTTTTTTTTTTTTTTTTCAATTTTTTGTTTTGGGGTTGGGGGGGGGGGGGGGGGGGGGGAGAGCACGGGTGGCGACAGCGCCGTGAAAGGCGTGAGTGACGCGCTCGGCCGGCCCGGGCGCTCGATTATTGATACTACTGATAAGCCGATCGCCTCGTTGAGCGCGGCTTGTGTTACCTCGCACACTTTTGAACACCAAGTAAAAGGAGGAAAGGGAAGCTGCTTTTGTAAGAATTTTGAGTGACAGGTTAATCTTCTATAATCTTCTCGAAGGAGAATAGCGACGCCTGTGCTAATCCAGGAGGCACAAAGGAGGATCCTGATAAGAGGGGAGTTCCTTCTTCCCCTTGTATATCACGTGGGTGTACATGCTTAGTGATGCCGAATATACAATGTTGTCCGGCTTTGCCACCGTTTCGGTTTCGGTTTGTGATCATGGCTAGAGTAAAATGACACGAAAAATATTTTATTTTTCGCGAAACAAAGGTTTGGGGATTGTTTTTGAGTGTTTCAAAAAGCAAAATCGGCCACTATCTCAAAATTTTTGAAATTAAGCGGAGTTACCCTTTAATAAAAATGACACTACGGACAGGTTTTCAAGGCGTGCTACAACGTTTGTATTGAAAGGATGCCCACAAAATAATATTTAAAAAAGTTCGCTTGTTTGTCTCCGTTCATAGCCAGTTTGGCCGATTAAAAAAAAGTAACTTCACTCGCTCAACTGAACAATACTGCGTTTGTTTGAAACGTGGAGTGCGCATCATGTTTTTAAAGTCTCGGTGGCGCAAGTTAGCCGAAACACCATGCATGTCTTTTTCTTTTTTCTTTTGCAGTGAAAACGGAATGAAAGCAGTGATTTTTCCAACTCATTTTATTTCCAAGGATGCAAGACACTACACAGTGACACACGCTTTTTTAATGTCAAGTTTCCATACACACTGCTTTTCCTCACCACCCGACGTGCATTTGAGAATCGCGCCTGTTAATTCTAAGACAATGACAGGTATTGCCTTGTTAGTGTGGTATTGCAGGTTATCGGATTGTAAACTCTAAATACTGGCTCTCCACAGGTTATCATGTGGGCGAGAACGCAGTCGAGGGAAATCTTTTTCCATGCGATGTCTTGAAACCATCTTTCAATGCCATCTTCTACGTAAAGTTTTAGATCTTCTATTTGATCTTCGCTCGCAGTACAGTTTTCATAGATTCCCAATTCTTCCTTATTCTCCTCATAGAGCTCCTCTTTTTTTTTTATAATTTCGTCTTCCAGGTCATCCACTATCTTTTTCAACTCGGTTTTTCTCAGCCACAAGTCGCATCCTATAAAATCGACGAGATACCAATTATTCACGAACATCGTACAGACAGTTTTGGGCTACTGTGAAAGCACTTAAACGTGCGAAAGCAAGTGACTCTAAATGAAAACGTAGATCAGTTGCGGCGTGGAGAGCCGGTGTAAGTTCCCACAATAAAATAAAAATGTCAGTTGTCAGTCAGCCTTTGTCGTGTGTACTACTCTTCTGTCTGTCTGTTTTTGTTACGTTTTTTTTAGTTTTTTTTTTCGTTAATCACGTCGTCACACAAACCGTTACTAAGTTAAACAAAGCTTAGATAAGCATAGTGTTTTCTGTTATATCTTTAAACGCCAGACCCGAGCCGATTTACCGCACGCCAATAAAGTAACAAAATACGAATATCTCATTGAAGGGGTATAACATTTTTTTTGAAAGAGAGATGCAAGAGTAGATTTTGAACATTTTTTTTATTGTTAAAACTCAGCTGATTATTCTGACACAGCGTTCCGTAACTGTGCCTGTTATATTTTTAAACGTTATATTTTTAGGTATTCTTTAGATATTTTTTTGTGTTGTGTCCAGAAACAACCGACGCCTTAGTACTGGTACACACTCATACCCACACATACACGTTCATAAAAAAAAAGAGCGAAAAAAAAAACGGACGATAACAAATCAGAAACAAATTCCGATCACTGATGTTATCAAATGTGGATGATTTCTATACTTTTCAGATCCAACTCTTTCCTGAAAATGTCAACCACCGCACTCAGTGCAATAAAATATATTTAAATTTGTAAAATGTGGGTAATTAACACATGTCTTGCACGTAGATAGTGTTGTGGTGACAACAATTCACAGGAGGTACAATCAGGAACAAACGTCCCCGGGACCCGCGAGCTGCGACTGAAACGCATTGCTCTGCCATGTGCCGGCGGGTCGCCTGGTTTCGAGATCACAGAAAACCGCATGCGCGTCCTACTGTGCCTACAAACATGTGTGTTTTCCCGCTCTTTGGCGGCGGGCGCCTAACTCGGAATTGGGCGCGTGGTACCGCCTCGGAGATAGCGCTTACTGACATGACATCTGTAAAGCAAGGAGTCACGGCAGCTCAACCGAGTGATAAGCCCAACTAGTTATAAAGCAAGATGCGCTGACACGGCGAAGTGCGGCGCAATGCCGCAGGTGGTAGCTCCAGTTTCGGGATGTGTAGCAGACGCTCGTCAGCCGCAAGCGCTATCTCCGAGGCGGTACCACGCGCCCGATTCCGAGTTAGGCGCCCCGCCGCAGAAGAGCGGGAAACCTGACATGTCTGCAGGCACAGTAGGACGCGCATGCGCATTTGTGTTCTCTCGAAACCAGGCGACCCGCCGGCAGATGGCAGAGCAATGCGTTTCAGTTGCAGCTCGCGCGTCCTGGGGAATTTTGTCCCCGACTGTAGATCTAAAGAAAGCAAAGAAACAAGTCTGGGGCAACGTATTCTGCTATGTGCAGTTTTAGACAAAAGTACATAATCTCGAAAATTCCGGCGCCAGTAACGGCAAGTTTAGCCGAAGTAACATTGCTCGTAGCTACAAAACAACCGGGTGCCGTAATAACAGTCGTATTCTATATGTACCAACTTTCTCTGCACACGTCCTAGACTAGCAGGGCTGGTCGGTCCCAGATAGTTCGAAACTACAGAGACAAACTCTAGTCTCGATTGAATAATAGATGCATAAAGCCTGACGAGGCATGAAGTCTCTTTAAAAGGACGGGTTATAGCGAACACAAGCCTAAAAGTCCTAAACAAAAACTAACCAAATTTGACTCATGATATAACTAAGGGATGGATCAACATAATCAACATAGTCATGTACGCAATATCCATGTCGCAACGGTTGATTGTCTTGTTTATTCAAACATTTAAACGCTTTTTTGCGTGATAAAAAAGACAAGTGTTTTTTTACAGTTTGGACGTAATTTTTGTTGCGCACCATGATGAGGTAGCAGATATGTCATGCAGCAGTTCACAATCAACATGTGATTTGGTTCGTGTGAATATCGTAATATAATCAGCGAACTGAAGCAAATTCAAATGTTTTACACAAAGAGAGACATCATTGGGAAAATGTTAAATGCAAGGATCCTAGAATGGAACCCCCAGGAACGCCAGATGATATGTATGACCTCGATAACACACCGTTAACACGAGTGTTATTGATGCGCCAGAAAAGATATGATGAAACCACGAACATACCGGCAAACACACCTCATATTCCGATAGCTTGTGCACAGATAGATCATGGTGCAGAAGGCCAAATGCTTTGGTTAAGTCAGAAGAAATGGCATCGACCTGCCGAAAGTTTGCAACTAATGGGGCCAACGTCACTCAGTCTGCTAAATTAATTTCAACACTTTCAGACTTAACAACACCTTGTTGCAATTAATTTAATATTTATTTGCAAAAAAAAAAAATAGAAATCTGCACTTCTACCACGCTCTCAGACAGTATTGAGAATGTGGTAAATATACAGGATGTTTTATTTTAATTTGATCATATACCAAAATACATGAAAGGTACACTTATGCTGTTTGAGCAGTTGAGTGTTAAAATCAGGGGGTCATATTATAGTTGGCTAATCGTCATGATAAGTAGGACTAAAAACAAAGAAAAAACACTAAAATTTGCTTGGTAGCTTTTTGGTCAGTGAAAAAAAACCTATGGTTCCATTGGGAACTTGCTTTGGGTCATTAAAGACTGCTAAATTACAAAATTCAAGGACTTAATGCACATGTAAGGTGTGGAGATGCGATAAAGTTAGCCCTCGTGCAACAGACACAAGGCTGGCGGTACGAAACGTGGATGACTACCATTCGCGAAGCCCAGGAACGAACTTTAGTATGTATCGTTTCACGTTGGCTTGGCAAAGAGCGAAAACTACGGCCCGCTCGAGCCAATCAGAGTGACGGCGGTGAAGCACCTGACAGCCCCTAACAAGGAAACAAGGGAGAGAGCGTAACCCGAGATGTTGGAGAGGAGAGAAAAAAGGAACTTCCCTTTTAGCCCGAACCCTCTTTTGTGTGTCCCAGACGTCGTTGTTCTCCCCCTCGGAGATTAGCCCGTCACAAAACATTAGTACAAAAGCGGCTTTTCCTTCTCTCTTGCTCATGGCTTTGACAGTACTGCGCGCAAATAGTGAGATAGAGTATAGTCACGTGCCTTGCTCTTACGTGCTGATTGGTTCACGCGGGCAGTAGCCTTAGCCGTTTGCCAAGCTATGGTGAGACAAGAATAGATGCAGATGTTTTGGTCGCCGGGAAGCTTAGATGGCTGATGGTGCTCTCTTCCTAAATTAAATCATCTTATTATCGCTGACGTGTGCTATTCACTTGGAGGTATTTGTTGCACAAGCGAGCGCATAAATCATCTATGTTGTTGTTGTTGTTGTTTTGTACTAGGGCCCACCTCCCATTCTCAATTACCTTGCAAGTTTCCCACTCAGCACGAACTTACGTTGAAATCAAGTTCCACTAGCGTTCTGAATGTACTTTAAACTACACACGACACCAACAGTATAAGACATTTCACTGCGGTCCTGCGAAGTCGTCGTCTGCAATCGTAATTGAACAAATGTTGATTGTGGGCGATACTGAGCAATGTTTGGTGCACTTGTTTTAAGTTGAAACAAAACTTTGGTACCAAGAGTACCCCTGTTCTGGTTAACATGCGCCTTTGAGGCATTGAAGATTACGAACAGGTTTAGGACACGAGATCTGTAAACTGAACATACCTCAAAAAGTAGAGTTTATCTTACACAGGCAGGACGCGTCTACGCGCAAATCTGAATTAAAACATCGGAAAATAAATCCTTCGCAATACACCTTATGAACAGCTCGTTTTATTCAAGATTCCTGCGCCAAGCAACCTTAATTTGGGTGTTTTTTCTTTTGTTATAAAGCAAACTGTAGCTGCTCTGCTTATCATTTAAATTAGCGAAAAACAAGACAATGTGACATTTATATCGCGAAAGTTTTAATGAACTTACCTCCTTGGGCTGCGGGATTCCTAAGGATATAACATTGCGGCTCGTTGTATACGACATACAAGTCAATATAGTCAGCACTTTTCGGATTGTAGAACAATTCATCTAGAACATTTCCCAAAGAATAATCGTAGTCTCGTGCACTCGGCCGAGGATTTACAGCATTTCCTGAGTGAGAAAATCATTTTCGCAATTCAAATTGAATACACCACTAACAAAAACATGCTCCACGCTTGTCCAGTATTAAACCTGAACTTACCCCTATCAGGAAAGAAAGTACTTCTGGAATAGCAGGTGGAGTTATCATTCTCAGCGTACGTGTAGCTTCCTGGGGGAACCGGAGTAGCATTTGGGGGTCTTCCTGATTTTGGGGTACAAAAAAAATTTAACGCACTTTTAATATAGTTTAGACGATTAGGCAACTGAAATCCTCCCGGTTGCACGCCAATCCTGACCTGACAGTGAAGCGAAGCAGTAAAGAAAGTAGTTACAACTATTGGAGTCGGTGTAGTTAGTTATATTTCTTTAACTAAACACTTTTCAAGTTACAATAAAAGTTTAGTAACAAAATCATATAAACTAACGCTTTTAAGGAAATTTAGACCGCCTGCATAAATTGGTTTCTCAACGTATTGCGATGCGACTTCCTACAGAGGTGCAAACAGGTAGTGGGATTTTACAGAGAAAAACAAAAACCAAGAAATGATCCTACATCGCTTACAAGGGAAAGAAAAATCTGATCTGGGGAATCTGAGCTGTCACTTAGCAGACGATATACGGGTAGAGAGAAGTGCTGCCTACAGATGGCGTACGCCGCGTCTAGGGAGCACCGGCCGATTCGAGTTATTTTGCGAGATCGTCTGCTATCAATCACCGGCAGGCGCTCCCTCGACGCGGCGTACGCCATCTGTGAGAAGATCGTCTCTCTACGTGTGCATTGTCTCTGAAGTGTCGGCGTAGATTGACCAGGACAGGTTTTAAAGCGCAGCTCTTAGGCGCCCGTTTCCCCGTATAGTGGCATCGCCGTTGGTGTCACCATCACCGTAACAGCCCCGCTAAATTTAGCGGGAAATTGAATTGGTGTTGAGGTCATGTAATGTCTGTTTTCCCGCTAAATCTAGCGAAGAAACTGAATTTGTTTATGGGTTACGTGACAAGAAGTCATGTGGCGTTAATTTTCCAACTAAATTTAGCGGGGAAACTGTGGGAGGAGGGGAGGGTATAGAGGAGGAGGAGGGGAGGGTACGGAGAGGGAGATTGAAAGGGTACGCAGGAGGAGGGGAGGAGGAAAGAGAGGAGAAAGAAAGGAAGAGGGGAAATAAGGAGGATCGAAAGCAGGAGGAGAGGAGGAGGAGAGCAGGAAAAGAGGAGGAGGAGGACGGGAGGAGAAAAAGAGGAGGGGAGGGCGCGAAGGAGGAGCGGGGACATACCCTCCGCTTCGTACCCTCTCGTCCGCGCTTTCAAGAGCTGCGCTCTAATTTCGCATTAGAGATTTGTAAACGTCTTTCATTTTTTGTTTCTTTTCTTTTGAATGAGGTAAGTTCGTTCCTTAATTTTTTTTACTGCCTTTCACTACATGTTTGCACCTTTCCAGCAAATCGCAGTGCAATACATTGATAAATAGATTTTTTGGAACGTCTAAAGTGCATTAAAAACATTAGTTCACATACGGTATAAATGCAACTTAAAAATTTTTGTGTGACTGATAACTTGGCTTAGAGACAGTTACTTTCCGAATTTTCACTTTTGAGCATCATCTCCGAGCACTTCAAATTAGTGGAAGCAACTGTCGATGAAATTGTTTGAATCATTACTGGGTTGACTTTTCATGACACTAGAATTTGTTAATTTTGAGAATGACTTGATTGAAAATGCTAATAAATCAAGATTGAGAAGCGGCAAGAGCAGCACCTTTGAAATTGAAGCAAACGGTTAGCACTTTTGGTAATTAAACTCATGAGACGACCGTCTGAAACAACCTAACATATGACCGCAATGTAGTAGTACCGCCAGTACGATGATGGTGAATGTAACCCGCTAAAACTTTTTCGCTGCATGTGTCCTCCAGCGGATAAAAAATTGACAGATTATCGCGATCCAAATGGAACTGGTCAGAACAAATTTTGATGCAAGGGTGCAGGCGAGCTGTTAAAGAAGTGACATGTTTAACCCTGTAGAGTGGGAAAACAGAGGGATAGGACAACACGAATCTCCAAACACAGCTGAGGTTTATTTTACGAACTATTTAAACAGAAGAAACTAGATGAAAGCGACGACGTCACGCGTACCGAACCAAGATATACGTATCCAGGGTACATATCAACGCCTAAACAAGATCCCCCAGCATAGAAATGATATATTGCATCGTGATACGAACATAAAAAACTGAGGACCAAGTCAAAAGGAAACACCGAGCGATCACTAAGTAACAAAAGAAATGAGGTCAACCAACTCCTAACAGAGTCACAAAAAAGAAAAGGTCGTAGATTAAGAAACACTTTCATGCTAATGTCTATACTCTGGAGAAACGAACTTGTTGCTAAAACAACCAGCGGGCCTATCCGCCATCAACGAGCCTTTCAGTAAACGTTTATAACAAACCCTTTCTCTGTGGAGCTCTTCACTATTTTTCTAAACAACGATTCGTTGATGATTTGCTAATTCTGAATCCACGGATTTGTGCTTCACCGCTCGTTTGTGGTCAGTTAATCTGTCATTAACACATATAGCAGTCTGACCCCCTTAGCAAGAACCAAATCCACAGAAATCTTGCACACTACACCCAGATCACAATCCACGGGAGGGTCTCTGGTTTTTGTTACAACCTGCCTTCTGTGACAAAAAAGGTGTAAGCCGGAAGTGCCGATAATTGTGTTGAAAAACAGCTGTCACACTAAATTTCTTCACTAGCGCATTAAGGTTATGGGAGACATTATAAAAAGGAGGCACACAAAAAAACCTACTGTAATACCCCGAGGGATAGCCCACCCAAAGTCGAAAGCAAATCGGGTGGAATAAGGGGTGGGCTAAATTTAGATGTGCGAACGAAACATGTTTAAAAAAATGCTACTTTTAGATTTTGGAACCTACGAAACCTGTAATCGCAATCGAAAAGACAACTCTCCTTCCCAGTGAGCAATGTTCGCTTATATCTTGCCGTGGCTAAGTAACACAATTTCGGCCGAGGTCATGATTGGCCAAGACCCTGCAATTACTAGAAGTGAACAATCTCTCGGCGATTTTGAAAAAAAAAAAAAAGATAGCAAATTGTGTCAAAAAAAGTTCGAGGTACACCTAAGCATTTCCTTATGAGTTGTGAATGCGAAAGCATGCAAGCCGCTCGTCCGCTCCCTTTGTCGTCTGCTGCGTACGAACGCGCACGTGCTTCGGGATCTCGGAGGTTATGAAGCAGGGGCCAATAGGAGCCCCGTCGACGTGCGCCAGCCAATGGAACCGAAGGCGAATCGCTCCTACTGGGATCGCGGAAACCAGGAGCCGTATTCGCGCTTCAAACTGATGACGTCAGCTCGCTCCATGAGACAGTGAAGGCATTCGCATTATTAAGGGTGCCTTATCTTTCGGGGGTGGCGCATCTCTCGAGATCTTACGGTATTTTTTCCTACCCCGACGCCTTTTGGTAAGTTACAAATGGTCAGCAACCGACGGATGGCCGAAGACACGAACTTCCTGCCGTTGTCCGCGAGGAACAATCTACGAAGCTGCTTTAGCGAATCTACGCCTAAACGGTGAGTGCCAACAAACTTTGTTGAATTCATTAATACAGACTTCGAAACTCTCCGCTTTACAATTTCAGAATGACGACTTAACCCAGAGTGCAATCAATGACTTTCCCACTTTGTTTCCCCGCCATCCAGGGTTCAAAATGTCAGTTGAGAGCCGATAGTTTTCTTTTACAACTAAACGACACTTCGGTAATCACAGCACTGATAGCCGTATGTAATCCGAAAGTTTACAAGTAACGTCAACGTGAAACGGAGCCTCCGGTAAGAGTCAACAGAGCGACAACCGACGTTTTAATAGGGGGCCTAGATCATTAAGGGTTCCTTGGTTTCGCTAAGGTAGCTCGAGCACGTCTCCGACTGGTGTGTTTAGCGTCCTATTCCGCCCATACATCAAAAGTAGTCCCAAAGTGGCAAGAAATGACGCCACAGAAGCCGGAGTGCCCTGCTGTCAGATGTCCCGATCCTTGCGGTTGATCGTAGAAACGCTGGCGAGAAGCACGTGCGAGCGCGAGTGCCTCTGTCGTCGCGGCGTCCCGACTTCTGGCTGTCGAAGCTTCCGTGATCTGGTACACTGGAGAGCGACCTGGAGCAGCACAGGCGTCCGCCACACCCAGCACCGCTGCTGGGACATCGCCAGTGTCGCGGCCGGCGACAGTATGACGTCATCAGGCGGAAATCTAGGAACAATTCGTTTAGGACGCGCTAAACACAGCAGTTGGAGACGCGTTCCAGACACTGAGATGGCACAGGATATCCTGCAGAAAAGGTGAAGAAATTGCGATGAAACTTAGTTTCATTTTTCGGAAACTAACTTTAACGAGTTACAACTGTAAGTGTGTAATTGTAACTTAAATCCACTACAACTCAGGAACTGTAACTTAATTAGTTTTCATGAGTCACTTTTACAGCTCTGCAGTGAAGCTATTTTGATCGATAGTAGCGCCATTACAGGCTAATATTAGCAGGTGCCACTTCAGCTTCTCCTCCCTGCCACTGCAACATTCAGCCCGGCCTAAACACCTTTCCAAAAAACGCTCCTAGGCCGCCGCCATGTTGCTGATGCTAATGCGACTGGTGCGACTCTCGCACCTATTATCAGCTAGAAATTTTCTCCCACTCTCTTGGACTGGGAAGACCCGCTCAGCGCGGTTTTCTACCTACGCTTTTGAGGTTTTGCATTCGATGTTTTTAAGGCCCACTTGAAAGTTTCCACTTATTTTTTTTTTTTCATGCGTGCTGCGTACCCTTTTTATGTTATCTTCCATTGTCAGAAATAAGGCTGGTAAGTGCCTGCCTTTCAATCTTTTCTGCTCGGAATTCATTGGAAACGAAGGAGGTGAAGGACGTCGAACGGCCCTCGACGCGATGTCGCGAGCATTGTTCTCGGCCCTCCCAGATATAATTCGCGTAGAATCCTCAGTCATTTCCGAAAATAATTGTCCGGGTTTGGGTGGGAAACGGGTTAGTCGCATTCGTTGCTTTGCTCTGGTGTTGTTGTGAAAAAAGGAAGCTCTCCCCAAAACGTGCCCCAAAACAAAGTTATCTTGGCTTCCGTCTGATCGTCAAGATGCGACTGTCGTCGACTGGGACTGTGTTATTTCAGATCTTTTTTATTTTCGGATGACGCTGCATCGTGTGGTACGTACAATATATTATTCGAATGTTAACACTCGCTAAATTGTATCTCCGTGTCCTGTCCATCGGTGGTGGTGGTGGTGGTGGTGGTGGTGGTGGTGGTGTTTGCCTGACGTGAGGTTTTTCTCACTGGCTGTGGAAAAGTTCCACAGCTTTTCCATAACGTGTCCATCGGTAAACACATTATTCGTGAGCGTGAAGATTGCATGCCATTCGGCTATCTTCTGTTGTAAAATATTTTCGACATCTAAACACTTTGTCGTTTGACATGCGGCGAATCGCGCTCGCTGTCAATACTTTTCGTAATGAAAATAGCAAAAAACGAACTATGCATTCCAGTCGGGTTCGTTCCGTCGCGCGCGTAGCGAACAGAAATAGTTTATATGTTTTTATTGCTTTTTGTTTTATTTTCAAATGTGGTACAATGCTTTCTCAATTACCTCGGGAAAATACATGCACCATTAGACACAAAATTCCCCGGGAAAAGACGAGGATTTAGCCGCCAGCAGTGTTTAAAACTGCGCCTTTCGAAATCACAGTCCACTCGGTTAGGGTTAATGGGGACACCGTTGAGAGTGTAGCCTCAAACACATAGAATGGGCTCGAAAACAGTTTACTGCCCCTGGGGTCGAGTGTTTCTTGAAAAAGTGTATACTTAATGAAAACATTTCTAAAGAGGAGCAACATGCAAGTTATGGCATTCAAAGGGAACTTCAGGCAGCCATCGAGTTTTTCACTGCCAATATTAAGAATTTGAATGTTTAGGATATAAAGTTTCATTGCAGAAAGGTAGTTTGCTACCCGTTTCAAAATTACACAATAAAGCGCAACTAAAAATTGGTAATTTGTAGCAAATTGCTTCGTGGCACAGGGGCAAGCTCTTATGAAACTAAACAGGTGCATTATTCTTATTAGGCAAGATTGGAAGTGGGTAAAGGCAAAAAAAGATTTTCTGGTTTTGGATTTGCTGTTTTTTTCTTTCTTTTTTTTCTTCTAGAATTGCCTTTTCTACAATTTGTACTATCGGGGAAAAATGAAATGCGAACAGAGGAGCGCGTGGCTCGCGGTACAGGCTGCGCCGCCTGGAAGTGAGCCTAGGAGCGAGGGTGGGTGGCCTACTACGACGTGTTCACGCACCTCCCTATGCGCTCCCCAAGCTTCAGCAGTACGCCTCTTAGTGCGCTGACAGCTATCACCGCTATCTTTGCTGGCTCAGCGCGTGCGGTGCAAAGAAGCTCGCCGCACTCGCCGAACAGGCAAAGATAGCGGTGACAGCTTTCAGCGCACTGAGAGGCGCACTGCCGAAGCTGGGGGAGCGCCAATCGAGCGGCGTGAACACATCGAAGTAGGCCACGCACCCTCGCTCCTAGGCTCACTTCCAGGCGGCGCAGCCTGTACCGCGAGCCACGCGCTCCTCTGTTCGCATTTCATTTTTCCCCGATAGTACCTTAGCTTGTACTAAGGCACTCTACTTCACATTCAAATACACTATTTTGGGATCACAATTAATTTTTTTAACATTTCCTAATGAAGTCACGTCTTTTCTATAGCTTGAGAAGCGTAGGATGCTGTGTAATTGGTAAGGCTGAAACTTCGGAATTTATAATACCCAATAGGGTCTAATTTGTCCTAAAAATTTGAATAATTTTCAATGAAGGGTTGAAAGGTTAATCTTATCAGGCTACACCCCCCCCCCCCCCCCCCCCCCCCTTTTCAAAGCGTGGTTTGAGTATATACATACCTTCGAAGTTTGCCCTTATAACGTTTTCAAGCGGGTAGTCAGTTTGATTCAGAGCTCTCACTTGTATTGTGGTATTCTCGCTGAAATTAAAGTAATTTACGAGCAAGTTAATTGTAGAGCATATGCGCCGAGAAACTAAGTAAGAGCAGAAGACGAGAGCGTGCGGGGACGACAGAACGCCGAACTCTGATTGGAAGGATTAGTGGGTAGAACTAAAGCAAGCTACCTTTGTCTGACGTAGTAGACTGCGTAACTTTCTGTTACGCAGAATGTATTTTCTTAAAAATTGAGACCTCCTTCCACTCTTTTAGTCTTTCAGTTCTCTACAGACCTCCTTCTAAAAGATACCGGCATTGCCTTCACGAGCTCACACCGACAAGCTGGCGCGAGCTGCAGTCTAGTATTATTTTGCATCGTACTAAATATGAACATAGATACGCTGAAAGATTAAACATCCGATGATTTCGAGTACCCTAACACTTGCTGGTGTGGGTTTTGAAAGCGTTTTCAGTGCACCAACAATATAAGAGGTGGTGGGTGGTATACTGGTCTCTTCGTGCATTTACCATATTTGTGTCAGGACGTTAGAAGCAACATTGATATCGGCAGTAATTTCGCAAAAAAATGGCCGATAATTTTTTGTTAGGTGCCAAACGGTATGGCAGTCTGCCCCGGCAGCGGCTGCGAAAAGTGACCAATGAATCGTTCACATCTTTTATAAAAAGATGTAGGACAAATTGGCTTCGTCATAGGTTTGGAGCTCCTTTCTCTAAGGGACATCGGACTCCGATGTTTACTTAACATTTGTCCACGACTCTTTCAAGGCGAAGGCACAGCGCAACGTTTAGCAAAAAACCAAGGTCAGATCGCATTTGGTTAAATACTCATATTTTAGCTTCCATCGCTGATAAAGATTTTCGGTGCGTTGTACGCGAGCTCGTCGAAATGTAAAATCGCGCGCGGAATTTCATGCCGCCAGGAACAAGGTCAATGCCCACGTACGTTTCGCTACGCGACTTTATTTAAAAAAAAAAGGTTCCTAGAAATTCGTTCCATTATTTCACAAACTTGGTCCCTTGTGAAAGGTCTTGGAGGTCACTAAAGTTACAGCTCAATTGGTGACGTCCTATTAAATTTTTTTTTTTTTTACAATATTAAGGAGACCGCCGAAAAGCTTAACACGTTCTTCGCCACTTCTTCAGACAAATCACCCAGTGGCTGTGTTTAGAAAGTATGATTGAAATATACAAATTACCCGTCTGCTATTCTTCGTGATATGGATGAAGAAGCTTGGGAGTCGGTTTTTTTTAAAGTATGACGTGGACTAGATGATCTGGAGCCGATGGAATTGCCGTTGGTTTTCTTCAAATTAACTTTCCGTCTTTAAAACACGTGCTTTTTTCATAACTAACGGTTTCATAAGGACACGTAAGAGTAAGAAAGAGATCAAAGTGGCTATTGTTTGACCCATTCTTAAGGGCGGAAACCAAAAGGGATAAAGAATTACCGCCCCATATCACTATTGCCTGTCTTTGTAAACCTGCTAGAAAAGCACGTATTTTTTGTGATGAGCAGTTTTTTGGGCAGCCACCTCATGATATCCAAATCGCAATACGGTTGTGTACCTGAGAAGGGCACGCAGCTGCTCTTAGACGAAAATATTGATTATTTGAACGCAGCGTTTCAGGATACTTTTTTTTTTTTTTTTTTGTGCATACCGTTAACTATTCGATTTGGCTGCGTGAAGTGTTTAATTTTGGTCTTCGGGAGCCTTTTTTTTTTTTTTTTTTCAACTACCGGGCGTTTTCAGAAAAGATTGAACAAATATGTCCGGTGACCATTTTTAATTTTGATGAAAAATATATATTTTGATGGCTTCATGCCGACAAAAATAAAACCAATCCTTGTTTTCAAAAAAAAAAAAAAAGTTTTTGTCTTTGCGAAAAAAATTTGTAAGCAAAAGCACCTTCTCAGTCACGTGCGCGTACTGCGTATCGCCCGATGTTGACATTTCGGGCGCCTTCTTTCAAAAATCTGTTCTGGCTACCGGTCTAGAAATATTCACTTACAAATTAGGCGTAAAAAGGATTGACAAAAAGCATTTATTAATAACCGAGTATGAGGGTAGTAATTTTGAGAGAAAAAAAATAGCACAAGAACGCTCTAGATTAAAGAATACTTTTCTCCGTATTCATGAAGGCTAAGGTCTCAAACCTTTGCCAGTGTATTGCTTTGTATATAGTTAATATTTGCATGAAATAATATTGTCCTGGTTAACGGGAGGAATTTAGGAGAATTGCTCACACAGGGGCATTTAACTAAAAAATTATATTATTTTTAAAATCATTAAAAAATGCCATATTTAATATTATTTCAACACTCTGAAATTAACGCTTATAATATGTATTAACAGAGTCTGCAATAACTTGTGTGGCTTTTAAGTTGTAAAGCGAGAAATATGGCCAAATTGACACTAACTCGGTTGCCATCAATGGGACGTGCACTTACCCGTTCATCACAATTTCATTATTATTAAATGCGTAAAAGTGCTACGGGGTGGTCAGGAAAAGACAGATTGACAGCACACAGGTGAGCGGTAGTTTCCAGGGAAAATGTCTTATGTATTTTTGTACAACCCACCCATAAATGCCCATGGCGCGGAGCGATCGAGGTGCGCCAATCTCTAACATGCTTCGCGGTGCCTGTTTCAACAGCCGGCGTACAGCGTCTCCGTTTACGCTGCGTAAAGGAAGCAACCGGAGCGACTTTGCAAACAGGTCAGCGTACAACCCCGGCAGTAACAATATATAGGAGGTAGGGCGCGGCAGAACCTGAACCTGCGCCGCCTGTGAAAGCCAATAGATTCGCCGCCGCGCGGCTAGGGCCGCACAAATACTACACGCTGTTTTCACTGCTGTGAATTGGTTTCTTGACAACTGTATCAAAGTTAACGCCTCAAAAGCTAGTTTAGTATGCTTTAGAATTTTTTTGGAAATAAACTGTGACGAACATTCCTATGTTGATTCATACCTCTTAATGCGCTTCTTGTTCCTATACGACCGATTCTTATGTCAATGAAGTGAAATACATTGGCGTTTATTTTGACAGCGACTTTGCTTGGAACACCCACCTGTCCTATATTTGTAGCAAACTCAGAAGTGTTGCCTGGCTTCTGTACACCAATAGACATCTTGCGCCGATCTGTGTGCGCAGAGATATTGCCAGCAGTCTTGCATACGGCGTTTTAAGGTATTTAATTTGGTATTTTTTCCAATTGCCCCATAAGATGTCAAGTACAGATCAATAATTTTCTGCTGAACTTACTGAAGAGCGTGGCGTATAAATGTGATATGACAGAATGCGGAAATCTTTTGAGTATCTTTGGTTACCTTCCTTCCAAAAGTTGTTCGTAAATTCAGTAATTTTGCGCCACTTTTGGATGGATGATTTAAAAAAAAAGACACACACACAAAAAAAAACATATTCATGTTCTCCTGAGTTCTAAAAGATTGTCCTCGCTATGTTGTGCCTCATTATTATACTCGCTACGGTCAAGCTACTCGTGATATTTAAGTCCCGAAAATATTTCATTCACTTCCTGGTGACAATTTTACGCTTACCTCAAAAAAGCAACTAAAAAAATTCCTGATTCATTGGATTCTACATTAACTATTCGTTTTCTTACCTTTATTTTGACAACCTTGTCGGAACCTTTTTATTCTAACTGTATATATCTCTACAGTGTCTCATCCGGTCCACTGCGACTGACTATCTCTGTCCGTGGCATGAATATATATCTATGTATACTCTTTATGTATCCCTACATGTACCTGTACATATGTGTATAATGTTTTTACCGGTCGACTGTGATTGCCAATCTCTATGCGTGCCATGTACAAAGTGACTGACTGCCCCCGCTCCCCTTCCGCCCCCCCCCCCCCACCCTTCCCCCCGGAAAAAATAATGATTGTTCATCTGTGTTAGTTTGTCAACTAAGCATGTATATAATGACTTACTGCCTCTTCCGGGCCATGTCCCACAAGCCTACTTTGGCTTTGACGGGCCCGAAAATATCGAAAACAAACATGAAAGCAGAATTAATAATAATAATAATAATAATAATAATAATAATAATAATAATATTATTATTATTATTATTTAGCTGATGAGTGAAGTACTTACTATTTCTCTTTTTCCGTATCATAACTCATTATTGTGTAATTGGCGGTTTTGTTCGTTTTGTCTGTGATATTTGCTGTTGTGGAGATACATTTCCCAAAAACGGGAGCGTTCGTGCGAAACAACAAAACATACGTATCATTTGACGTTTCTTCTAGGACCTGCAATCATCAAAACGAAACATTTCTTATTATTTTTCCAAATATTACGGAAAGACGCATGGCAGGGCCAACTAAATAGGGCACTTATACCCGTGCTACACGGGCAACTCGAATGCCATTTACAAGGAATTACATTCGTTTGATCGACGAATGGGCTCGCGATCTGTCACGCGTCCAACGCCCCACGCTCGGGGTGTCCCACGCTGATTGGCCGATCGTTCAAACGTCATTCGTTGTAAATGGAATTTGAGTTACCTGTGTGGGCACGGGTATTACTCACATTTAAGCATTCGTATCCTGTCGACAATAAAAATCAGGCATTGCCCCACTTTAAATCACAGCAAAGTAATGGTGTTCTTCTATAATGGAGGCATACCCTTCAATGAACACTCATACACAAAGAACAAATTGAACGCTTGCATCACTGACACTGGTTTCAACACGACTACAACATAAATGCGTGCGTGCCATTATATTAGGTGCAAGCGCGTATTTGTGTAACCGTCCAGCATAATTATATGGTTAAAGAGAAGTAACACCTGCAAACGACGCAGCGAATTGTGAACATCTTTTGCACGCATATTTGTAGGTATGATATTTCTTTAGTACTAAAATGCATATTTAGAAAATTAATTTGCGTACGGTCATCCCATGCTTTTAGCAAACGATAGTTGAGGAGTCTCTACCGCTCCTTGGATTTTTGTTTAATCATAGTTTAGTTATTTCTGATTTTTTTTCGATTTTTGTAATAAAGCAGATTTTGCTTAGATAGTCCTGAACGGATGCATAGTCCGCACTTAGTTCATAGTCCTTTCGGTTGAATTCCGGTTCAGTTTCGGGGAGCTAAAATAAAGGTCCGAACTGGTTGGAACCGGTTTGAACCCCTAAATTGCGAATATATTTTCCGCGTCGTTTTGGCAATAGGCACTATTTGACCCGTGAAACGAGTAACTATATCGTTTTTTTTTTTATTATTATTATTCTTACTATTCACTTTTATTTTCCAATATCAAAAATAAAACAAATCGCCATCTTTAATCTCGGCGAAACAGTAAATGAAAAGCTAAATTAACATCGAAAAACGTCGTGTTCATATGGCTCATTATTTGATTACCTCAGTCGCATATATTTTACTTGAATCGAAAGGTCATCAGTCTGGTAGGTCGCCTAAAATACCCGTCATTGGTACAGACTTACGTCGCTGCATCAAAAGTTCAATCCTAGTTGTTCTCTTAAACAATTAGGACTTAATTACACTGCATAAAATTATGAAATACGCAGCTCCTCACGATATATATTGTGAAATCTAGTTTACGAAATACGTTTCACAATATATATGATGACGGCGAGAGTGAGCTAAAAGCAGCCCTATTTTCAAAATATCATGAAAGTTTTAGAACAACCCCTTTCATTCTACCTTTGATAGAGACACTGAGCAGCAATCACAACATTTGTTTTACTGACAAACATTGTTTACACTCAGCACCGTGATGAAGGCTAACAATCACCCAGAAGAGAGTGATCAAAGTTGTTCACTCTAATCTATACCCACCTTCGAGCTCAAATCCAATTTGTCCTAAAATAGCGCCTATCCACGTGAACATTTTCGACATATCCTGGCGTTTGAGGTTTGTTTCTGACAAGACGCAGGTCAATACAATTTGCAAATAAGCATCACCTTTGCTAACTTGTCATTTATTGTTAAAAAGATCTTTGTGGTATTTCATACTCTTCTCGACATTGCAACTACTTAATTAGTCACTTTCTGACGGTCTGCGTGCGCAATTATGATAGTTTGTGTCATGAAAACATATCTCAGGAGCACATTTATGTTTCAGGAACACATTTATGAGTCGGGAACAGGTAGTTATTTAAATCTTCAAACTTTGAAATTTGCTTCAGGCTGTCTCAAATCACTTATAGACGTGGTTATCGAGGATCAAATAGCCAGAAAATACTTGCAGGACATATCTCAGACAATGTAGGGTGCATTTACTTATGATGTATATCTTTAAGGCGATTGGCATTTATTTATGTTGTCAAATCTTCAGTCAGTAAATATATTTCTATTATGACACATAACCACTCGAGACCGACTTTAGAGGGCGATACTCGAAAATACGCCATCTGTTGAGTCTGCGGAAACGGGCTTTTTTTTTTTTCGCTGTTTGGCAGTGGGAAGCACTGGGCCGTGGGTTATGAAAAAAATAACTCTGTGCTCACTAATGTTGGTGCTCACAAAATAGATCTGAAGGCAAATACCCTAAATCTGGAGAAAAAGAGGTAATGAATAGTATTCTAAAAAAATTTCATACACAAAGCCTTATTGCAAAAAGAAATGCATACAGATGCATGAAATAATATTGCCGCGGGCGCAGCTGACCGAGCACGCAGCGCGCCCGTGGCCTAACGGTTATCGCGCTTGCCCTCTACGCAGAAGGCCAGAATTGAATTCCTGGCCGCGTCTACACATTTTTGATGATGCTGTAATGGGATGTTCTGGTTAATTCAAGAACCGTCTTGCTGATTCGAGGTTAGAATGTTCTACACGCCGAACCTCCTACGCCGCATATTCCAGAAGCCCACGCGATATACAAAAGAGACTCCGCGTGGCAAGCCGGGGTCAGTTTCGCCCCAGCGTTCGACTCCGCTCTTTCACCGACTTCGACGCCCGAGACGCTGTGCTGTTATCTTTTATTCCTTTTTTTTTATTTTTGGGCACAAGTTCGCTCCTATTAAACGTTTCAGTTTCCCCACTTATTCTTTGTTTACTCGCCTGTTCATTCGTGACAATATTCCATATTACACATGAATAGCGCGAAAGGCAGACAATATGTTTCTAACGTAAATCACATTTCAACATCAGTTAGCACAAGTTCCTAACTTCGAAAAATACTGCCTCGGCAGGCTAATATTTTATTCGGTTTTACGTGCACTTGTTTTAGGCCCTCACTTTACAACGCTGTATTTTAACAGGAAGCGCGCACTATTTTTTTTATCAGGCTGCCGCATACCACAGCGAGACCACTATATCTACTGCACAGCTTTAGGATTTGGACATTCACTTTGGCTAGTGTTGAGAACATCGCATTTCACTAGAAAACAGAACTGTTTAATAGGTCACGTGATGACATCGCCATAAAAGTATTGCGCGAAAGACTAGGACAGGAAGGAACAATGGAACAGGGCAGTCCGCCAGTCCCATTGTTTCCTCCTGTCCTTGTCTTTTGCGCTATAAATTTGTAACGAATAACTAAATTTGGTAATGAATAACCACCTGTTAATTTTAATTATAAAGACGTCATCGCACTATAGGCTGGTTGTCATCGCGATTTGCTCTCGCTGAAAAAATAAAAGAGGGTAATGCAAAATGCACGCTGCAGAAGGTTTGCGCTCAGTGCAAGATCACGTATTCGAGATACACAAATTATTCTGGCGTGGTGTTGCGTCGTGAGGATCGGCAAGAGCGTCTGGCAACACGAAAACGCGCTTTCGGACATTTCTTGCAGGAGTGTTTTTGCAAACAAAATAGTTTTTGGGATAACGCGTTCAGCTCTGTGCCGAAGATACGGAGCAGAGAAAACTTTAGAAGAAAGTATGTTTTTAAGACTCCTGCCTCACTTTTTTTTTTTAGAGCGCAGCTCTTAGGCGCTCGTTTCCGGGTTAAGCCGCGTAGGCGTCGCTGTCGGCGTCGGCGTAAGCGCGCTAAATTTAGTGGGAAAGTTGACGTCACGTGCCCTTAACACCAATTGAATTTCCCGCTAAATTTAACGGGAAATTGAATTGGTGTTGAGGGCACGTGACGTCAATATTCCCGCTAAATCTAGCGGAGAAACTGATTTTGTTCATAGGTGATGTGACACCAAGTCATGTGATGTCATTATTCTCCTTAGATTTAGCGAGGAAACTGAATTGTAGCAGGAGAGGAGAGGAGGGAATGGAGGAGGACGAGGATGAGAGGAGGAGGAGAGCAGGAGAAGGTACGGAGAGGGAGGACGGGCATGCTCTCCCCTGCGCATCCTCCCTTCCTCCTCCTCAAGGCCTGCGCTCTAATTTCGCATTACAGAAATTCGTAATCCTCTTTCTTTTTTTTTTCTCTCTTTTTTCGATGGTCCTCCAGAAAATACTTTTTATTCTTAAGGGACTCCCTCCTCTGTATTATACTTGTGTCATTTGTTAACAGGGATCCTCCATTTCTTATAATTTACTCCTCAAAACTGTGAAGTATATACAAAATATGGACGTGGTCAAAGCTTAGGGAAGAGCTTGAGAACGACACTCCTCTGAGACTTTGAGTGGCTGCCAACGTCCGGCTTTCCCTCTGAGGCCACTAGGATCTTTCTTTTCAGGTATCTCTCCCGTATACACTTGTAGTTATATTTACCGTCGGATCAAAAAATCAAATTTAGACCTTTCAATGCCTCTCTTCGGGGACAACTTTCTGGAACAGTTCAGCAACAACGGAAACATGTTTGGGTGCCTCAATGATGTGTACCTGTAAAATGGGTTCTGCGACAATTTGTGTACTTTCAGTGAATACCAATAAAAGCCAATTCTTGACGTTGATAACTTGTAGAAACACCCATTAGTTCTCGTCTCCGCTCAATGGCAGACGCAGAAAAAATAAAGGACAGAAACAGCTTTTCCCTCCTCAACTGAGGTCTTCATTAAAGGCATGCGCTGGGATTGGCAAAGAATGAAGCATGGGTATAGCTTTAGACGTTGTCAGAGTTCGGCTATTCTCACATCTGATTGAACACGAACCGTTACCCGAATGTTTGGTGATGCTAATTGTCACGAACCCGAGCAGACGACTCGGGCTCATGAAAACTGAGTGATTCAAGGTGTCACGTGACTCGCGGTGAAAGGTCGTAATGCCATAGGACGTCGCGGTATCAACAACGCTAATAAATCTAGTGACGTTGTAAACTCAAGTCGTCATTTGTCACGTGACTATGTCCCGAGGCCACGTGACGTGACATTACTTGACACCATGTCTTAACACTATGACGTCACGTTACCACACGACACATGATTAATCATCGTGAGAATACAAAAGCCGCCACGAAAACCCACAAGTTCTCATACATTGCAATTCGATATATGACACTTTGATCCCTACATGTGAATACAGCTCCCAATTTTTATTTTTCAAATATTCCTTTTGTAATACAAAAACAAAAAATTGACGTGAACCGTTTTGAACCGGTTACTGTTATATTGTTTCCTGTGCAGTGCCGATTCAGTTTCAAGATGGCGGCGAAAAGAAAAACTCAGTTGGGAAACTGCCATAGAGCCTGCTCTGAAAAAAGTTGAACCGATCACTACTCAAGAACCGAACTAATTGCGATCGTAACGCCGCAATTTCTCCCGCAGCGGAAACTCGGGGAATTGCACGGCTGCTTGAATTGGTTCAAGAGTATCGCATTCGACAGCGTCCGCTGTTACTCATGTATTTTGGTTTTAATCGGCCATTTTGGCGCCGAAATATATACGGTGGATTAGCGATGCCACGCCAATCTTTCAAGCGGACGCGTCCCGAACTACTTACTACCCAAACTAGGACGCGCCCATATTGGGACGCGCTACCTGAAATCATCGGTGAGACATGGTTGTATAAAAACAATATAAATTCTGCAACAAAACTTTGTGAAGTAAAGATTTGAGAAAACATCATGTGCCTTGCATTCTGTACTAATCTCCAATAAATCCTCCTAGAAAAGAACTTTTCCTAGAAAAAACACAGTAAAAAAAAAAAAAAACAAAAAAAAAACGTTGAACAGCCTTTTTGGCACCTCGAGCCCGAGAGCTTCGGTACTGTGGGGACATTAAGTGGCTCTATTACTAGCAATATAAAGCAACTTTTTTGTGTCAACTCCTTTCTAAAGGGCGGCGTTGTTATCGTATTTATCTCGGTCTGGGTGAACGCCAGCGGTCGAGGCTTCGAGGGTGAGTTTCCCGACTGAGTGTTTTGGTAACGTTGGGTTCGGTCCAAAATAACGTTTTGGTTCCGGATTGGTTCCTACACCACGCGCTTCACGCGAATGGCTCCGCTCCCGAGACTACCTCGTATTCTAGTTCACTGTAGTTTTATTCTAACCATGGAGGTAGGAAGAAGAAGAGGCGATAGAGTGACTCAAGGCAGCAAACGAGGAAAATCCCTAGCGAAGCCGGAAGTGGAGGACGCGGTCGGTGGAACGCCCCCCAGGGTGGCCAAAACCACACCAGAGCCGCTGCTGGTGCCAAATCATGTTTCCTTTCCGTCCAATAGCGTCTTTAAGTTTCGGTGATCATTGGGGGCGTGTCCCTCTAAACCGAAAAACTCGGGACCTCATGTCGCCTCCAGAACACCTGAATGTAACTTTAGCGCGCTTCCTAAGCGCTCCAAGTAATTCTGGTATTTACTCATCTCGTAGTTTTTGATAATACTCAGCAAGTTCCTGATAAAAATCATATCTTTATCTTCAATCAATAAAAATGTAATTGAGCAAATTTTAGTTAATTAACTGATTTATCGTGATGTTTATTGACTTGTATTATGTTTTTGGGACCGTGTAACTCACCTGCACAGTCCGCATAAGTATAGCTTTCGTGTCTTTTTTAAAAGAAATCTCTAAAGCCTTAAGAATACAGCCTGTATTTCACCCCCCCCCCCCCTCCTATATTAATCACATACCTTCCATGCATCTTGCAGAGACCCAAGCTCTGGGTCGTTGAAGTAAGGGCTGTTTTCCGGGTTCTTGATGGTCATTTTCTCCGTCCAGTGAAAGCTCGGTGTCCATCTGCGGCTCTGCGCCAAGACCTCAGCCGCGGCGAAATACGCGAACAACAGTACGCACTGGAGGTTCATAGCAACGTATTCTTTCTGCATTGACTCCTCTTTCGAGATCAACTGAACACTGCCTAAGTCTTAAATAAGTTCCTTTTTTTTTGTTGTTGTTGTTATTTCAAAATACAGCTGTACCGGATCATTGCTGACGTTTGTGACGAGACTCTCTTAAGGGAAAAGCATTGTTCACAGAGGCTGCCTCAACATGCGAGACAAGTGTTCGTAATACACCAAGCAATTATGAATTTCAGTTGTTCCGATTCCCTCGTCGTTTTGGTTTCTGTGGTTCCAGCTCACACAAACGCATGAAACAGCCTTGAAGCGTCAGAAACAACAAAGTCACACTTCGCCATACTACGCAGTGAGAATGAACGCAAAAGCAAGATACTGAGATTTATTAAAAGAAACAAAAACAGTAACTATTCCACGGACGGGCGTCTTCCAGATCAATACAATCACCCAGTTTTTGTCGCTTCCTAGCTTACACTGGCGTGGGGTGATTATCATACGAAATAAGGAAAGGGAATACGACTTAGTAAACCACGGTCACTGACGTTCTAAACAACGCAGCGCGCGCCAGGACCCAATAGTTTTATTATTGCTCCGAAACCGATTAGATTTTAGCAATATCTGTTAAGCACGCCCAAGAAATAATCACGAAGCGAGAAGAGTTAAGGTCATGAGTCACACGCCCCGTATTTCTTAAGCCGTTGGTGACTACTATCTATCTAGCTTATCAAGCAAAAATTTCGTAACGCTAGAATAATAAAACGTAATTGGTAACTCTGGTATACTGTAAAACCCTTTATTTTCGCGGCCCCTATTTTTCGCGAGTCGGTCACATATGACATAATCGCGACCACTAAATTTCGCGAATTCCAGACGCCTGCATTAAAAATCTTTAGGACCGAAATTTTCGCGCGCCCTTAAATTTCGCGAATTCTTCTATTCGTGAAATTCGCGAAAATTGAGGGCTCGCGAACATTAAGGGTTTTGCAGTAACGTCAATTACCCCACGAATTTAGACGAGGCTACAAAGAACTCCGTAAGGCCGGAGTCACAGTGCTCATTCATCACGCAAAAGAGAGAATACAAACACTGGTCACCGGAATGTCCGTGGTTCGAATGCCACGTGCCCAAGTGTCCTCCCTCAACTCATTGTTACTCGGCATTCGAAGCAGGGATCTCGCGGTGGCTCGCGTTCGAATCTCGATGCAGACTGTTCTTTCTATGATGCATAGACAGTGTGACCCCGGCTTTATGTTTATATTTTGAGAGTCAGAGGTGACGTTCGTGACTTAATAATCTGTACCAGACAGCTGGTAATCTTTTTTACTGACCAAAAATAAATTCTTGTGCAGACTTAAATTCGCGTACGCATCAAGTTTCTCAAGGTTCGTTCCCGTCATTTCGCTTCGAAAGTCAATTCGCTAAAGATTTCCTGTGCACCTGGCCTCCCAAAGCTAATACTTTTAGGCCGTGTTTTAATTGTGCCTCATGACAAACGAGGCAGAGGGGTTTAGAGGTACCCCAACCCCCCTTGCTAACCGCCATGTTGTACAATTTTAACAACTTGACACGTGACTGTGCCAAATCCTGAGGCTTTTACACAAAACTGAGCCAAGGTTTGTATTGCGATCACTGTAAGAAATATAAGAAACTACTTCTCGATACTCTTCGCCGCAGATATCAGTGTCTAGCTCCGATAAAAACCCTAAAATACAGCACCGTGGCTGACGGTGTATATCGGAGCCATTGGGAAGCTGCCCGAGGTATTGTCGTAAAAGCCCATTTCGGACTTAAAATAAACAAAACATAACTTATCTCGTCGGTACTGTTATTAAAGATCAACAAGCCATCATTTGAGCGGGACTTTTTCAAAATCGAGATGTAAAACTATAAGGTCACGTGTCAAGTGGCGAAAAATGTGCAACATGGCTGCGGCCGGATGGGGGTCACTTTCAGCTGCCAGTTTATCACGCTAAGCCCCCCTACCTTGTTGGTCATGACGCTCAATCACCTTGCTCGAGGGTGCGTGCACGAGAAAAAATAACAAGAGCAAAAAAAAGTACAATGGCTGCATCTTTAATTTGTTGCTTTTTTTTACTCCACCCGGTTACTTTTTACCGCAAGTTAACAGAACCTGACAGACGCCTCTTTTGGACCGCAGCGCATACATGATGAAACGCTGAATGCCACCACCATGGTCACGTCTTGGGAGCGTTGCAGAAGTTGTTGGACGGGGGCAGAGTAGCAGATTTCGTGTCCGCGTCTCACTGAATTAAATTGCAGACGACGAAGACGGTGGTGAAATAGCAAACGATGCCAGAGGCTGCAACGTGTCTGCTCGGACGACTAGCAGGCTCAGTCAGACGTCGAGTAGACGCACCGGATGTCGCTAAAGGGAGGCTCTAGGTTTGTTAGCTTGGTCAACCGAGCTGCCAAGCCAGCCAAGTAGCAATGGGCGGGGCCACTGATTTGTGGTGGGGTCTTTAAGCGTGCCGTGACCCTCACGTAAATTGGGTCGAACATTGTAAATACTGTGCGATTTAATTATTTTTATTTCTTTGGAATTTTTTTGAAAAAACATACCTGTCCTATCTATGCAATTAAAAAAAACCTTTTGCTTTTATTTTAATATTTATTTACGTGTGAGCGTACCAGAAGCTACAAGCACGAAATTCGGGCTTTCAGAGTCTCTGCCCAGCACTCGCGCTCGTGCAGTTCAAGCGCTGTTCGAGGCCACATGCTGGCGCTTCTTTCATAGGCTGCGCCTGGATTTAAGTATCCGCTGAAGACAAAAAACTTACCCAGTGCAATGCCTCTACTAAGGAAGTTTTTGAACATGCGTCGTGCAGTAGAGGTACACGACGGCACGCCGATAAGCCGGCACGTGTAAGAATTGAACAAAGGACAGCCGTGTTCAATGTTCACTTGCGCACGGCAGCAGAGATTGAAGGCTAGGCGGCTGGCACATGCTAACGCACTGCTGTTTGCAAGCTGCTGTATAGGCCGGTTCACGAATACTTTAAAGGGGCAATACAACAATTTTTGTACTTTGCGCAGATACCGCTTAAAATGGATCCCTGACGATAATGACCTACGAAACTCGCGTTCGTTTTTCACCCACGAAAGAAGTCCCAGAAAAGAATTTTAAAAAAAAACGAGCAGCTTTTGCCCCCTCAACTCGCAGCCAGAACAAGCGGCTACGTGATCTGGAGACGCTTTCAGCGCGCGCCAGATTCAGCCGCCATGGCTGACCTTCTCTTGTCTTACCGAGATGCCGAGCCACTGAAGCGGGTGTTGACGACCCTCCACAAAGGCCTATGCTGGGGAGAAGGACATATTAACGCTTAAAATGGCAATAATCTGTCTTGATTTCAGAACGATGAAGGGAAGCGAACGGAATAAGGGGAAACAAAAACTGGAGGTCGGTTATGGTGGCGCCCATGCACAGCTGCCGAAAAGCGTCTATATGATCATGGCCACGCGCTGGAGTTGCAAGGCACAGGACGTGCGCTGAGTTCGAGACATTGTTATGGTTCGACTATTGTCGTCATTGCAGCGATTGGACAGAGGCCACTACCCGATAGCTTCTCGGGTTACCGATTATCACGTGCCGAAATCGAGTGCCCACGCACTGCCCGGGTCCAATCTATGAGCTGCGTTCAAATAATGTCCCTGGGTGGCACTGCGACCGCCCAGCTACGTCATCAATTTTTCGGGAAGGAGATATTGAATGAGATCACCCGCTTTCGTCCTTGAAATTACACCGCAACAAAGGAGTTTTTTGTCCAGTGGCGTTGCGTTCGGGTATCCTTGTCTCCCACAAGTGCCAGTAAGCTCGTGTAAAGTAAAGGGAAAAGAAAAAAAACAAAGATTTAAATTGAATATTTCTCCACCGCCCCTTTAAGCTGAAACGAAGCAGAGCAAAATGGGATTTCCAAATTGTACAGTTGTGCAGTATATATGGCAGTCTCGTGATGATATGCGGCAGCCCAATAAATTGTTAGAGCGCGCATGACTGATAGAGCACAGAGTTGTAAATTGAGGCTCCAGAACAAGCTCACGTAAAATTGAATAAAACTTTCGCCTTCCGAGACAGTATTTTGCGAAGTTTCTAGCAGGTGCAAGCCGATGTCCTAATGAAATACAAATTAAAAATATAGTGTCTTTTCTTCGCGCTATTTATATGTAATTAGTAAAATCAATGCGCGCAACTCTAGTAGAGAAATACGGACCATAACCAACCATGTCCTTAACAGTTAACCGCCCGACGTTTCAAAACCAATTCGTATTTTTCATCAGGGTCAACTCTTTGCACGTGGAGAGCAGCAGCTTGATTTCGATCTACGGTGTGTCGTTTGCTTCACTCACTTTCTCTTCTTCAAAAGCCCTAGTCCGTCGACATACGCCGGTGTTTAAGTGCCTGTCGACTAATTTAGCTGGACCTATTAAAATAACGTGTAAGCAGTGATGGAGTGCGGTCGAGTCAGTAATGAATCGACATCTGTTAGACCCTGAGATTGGGGGGGGGGGCTCCTAAATTTTTAGGACTTGGTCGGTGAAAGTCTGTATTTCTCGAATTTTCGGCCCAACCAGACAGAGTTCTGTCAAGCGCGTTTACATTTAGAACATGCTTCTCAATATATTTCTTCTTGCAGTAAGGCTTCGTGTATGAGATTATTTACAAGAATACCATTTATTATCTCTCTTCCAGCACACTTTGTGTATTTGCCTTAAGGTCTATAACGTTAGCACAGAGTCCTTTCTGCCATACCCAGCGACCCGCTGTTTCATACTTTCAAACAGCGAAAAAAAAGAAAAAATCACATTTGCGCAGACGCAACAGATGGCGTATTTTCGAGTAACGTCCTCCCGTGTCGGTCTCAAGCGGCACGGGAGGACAATAAGCGAAGCGGGAGGATCTGACCTTGATACAGTCATATTTATTATCGTTAAGAAACAATATTTTATTACTGCCTGAAGACTACAACATAAATAAAGGACCGATCATCCTAAAGATATACATCATAAGTAAA